CAAGAGCTGGATAAATGTTTGGTGTTACTACCACTTCTTTTGAGGAAACTTGGAAGGTCCAAGAGCTTCCTAAGGTCATGGGATGTGTACATGTCAGAACTGGAATTAAAACCCAGGTCACCAGGCTCCCAGTCCATGCCTCTCTGCCCCAGTGCCCTAATTAGGAGAGCAAATCAGTCTACATTTAATTAAGGCTTTAGAGCCTATTTCAGCAAACAAATTATTTTAAGGGTGAAAATCAATTAAAAATCCAATCTCAATTAACAGGACAAAAAATTAAATGCTAAATCCTCCTGTCATTGTCATTATTGATCTCTACAGCTGAAGCCCAACAGTATTCCCGATAATGAGGAAGGGGCATTTCCTCAGAATTCTGGGTCTTAAAAACCTGCAAACTGATGAGCATTTATGTATTTGCACACGGGCATATCCATATACACATGAGTATATGGACAGACGCTTTCTGGACAGAAAGTTCCAATGGCTGAAACTGACTCCATCAGGAAATGTATTGAAAGTAGTCCCAGAGATGGTCCCTGCCTTCGAGAAGCTTACATTCTGCAGCCAAGGGTTGTTTTAGATCAAAGCATCCAACTAACCGTCCCCTAAAGGGCTGTGTTGACATCTTGTCCAGAGGAAGAACAGCCTCTCAGTGCCAGGAACGTGATCCCTTCCTTCAGGGGGCATATATTTTCAGGAGAGTATGCACTTCTCACACAGATGAGGAAGTGCGGCTTAATTTCAGGAGGGAGTCAACTGAGACAACTGTGGAGGCAGCACGGATCTGGAGGGGTAGCAGAGGAGTAACCAGGGTTGGACTTTAAAAGAAACCAGGGATTCTCAGAAGAGAGAGTGATTGGAGTATATTCTGAGTATGGCAGACAGCCTGGACAAAGGTGAAGAGGTGGGAGATGGATGGAGAGTTCAGGAAATAGCTAATACAGCAGTTTGGCTGTAATGTAAAATGTATGATGGGGAGCAATTTAATCTGGAAAGTTTGGATGAAGCTCAGAATGGAGACCCTCAGGGAGGGGCGAGGAGTCGCTAGTTTATTCTGGGGACATGGGGAGCCTCTAGCCCCTCCAAGGACAGTGTTTTATGCTAATCAAGTCAGCGGCACAATCATTAAGCCCCTACTAGGGGCCAAGAACTCTACTAAGCTCGGAGAATACAAAGAAAGGCAGAAAGAGGCTTAGCCCCAAAGAGACTCAGTGTGGGATACACCCTGTGGATAATGAGGCATCTACAAAACGTATACCGAGTGGATGGAAGGTAAGCCCAGACTGAAGATATTGGTAGATGGGGGACCAGGAAAGGCCTCCTACAGAAGGTGGGATTTGAGCTTGTCTTGAAAGAAGCCAGGGACATGAGAAGGAAGAGTATTCCAGACATGGGGTAGTCAATACAAAGGAATGGATGCAGAGGGTGGAATGTGGTGCCAAGAATGATAAACATGGGCCTATATGGGCTTGGCCATATCCTCCATTAGTGCCCTCCTAAACAAAGCCGTCTTGCTGGGAGAACGACTTCCCAGATAGCAAAGTTGAGAGGCAGGATCATTCCCAATGCTCGCTAGCCTCCTCATTGATCTTCCTACCTCCACCCTAGCTCCTTCAATCCATACTTCATTGTGCTGCCACATGAGTCTTTCATAATGCAGATCTGATCATCTCACTCTGCGGACCAGTCTTCAGTGGCTCCCTATGGCCAACCCATTTAAGTTCGGCCTGCTCTACTTGGTTCTAAGGCCCTTCCAACCCTAGGGCTACCCTGCTTGGCTAATCTTGGCCCACGCTGCTCCCTTACCTGAATTCTTATGAAGTTCACCCAGAGCAAACCAAAGGCCACCTTCTCCCTGAGGCTCATTGGTTTTGTCCTTGCTCCTTGGCCCTCACAGGGCCATGACTCTGCCCTGGTGATGGGAGGCAGAAGAAGAAAGAGCTCCAGAGTGAAGACCCATGAGCTCAAGTCCTGTCCCTGCCCCTTCCTACCTGTATGACCTGGGAAACATCACTTTCCCTCCCTGGGCCTCAGCTTCTTCCTCTTTAAAATGCGATGTTTAGTCTAGACAGCCTCAAAATCTATCCCGGGGGGCCTTTTCTGATGGTGGCTCTGATTGTGGTTGAAGGCTTCTGTCTCTACTAGACTATGAGCTCCATGATAGCAGAGACCGAGCCATACTATAAATAAGACAGTTCATTATCTGTCCATGGCTGCCTTTGGGGACTTTTGAGGCCAGGAAGAGAGATGACTGAGGCAGCCTATCCTGGATGAACTCAGATCATTTCTGAACAGCATCACTACTCTGTCCAGAAGCTTGAGGCTAATGTGAGGCCAGAAGGATGGTCGGTTTCATTAATGGCTGGCTCAGGAGCTTGGGGATGGGAGGAGGATTGCATGGATGAGCTATCCAAGCTGGGTCCTGGGAAAGGTGGGCAGCATGCTGGTTGATAGAAGGATTCTATTCTCCCACCAGCTCTAGTTTGGGTTTCTGAAGCCTGGAAGGTGAGGATACAAACTGCAGAAGAATGCACCTGACGGAGGGGGATGGAAGAAAGAGACAGACATGCAAAGACACAAGACAGAAACAATCAATAAACCTACATAGATACCATTTCAACCAGTAGTGATCCAAAAAAAAAAAAGGCAAAACCAAACAAAAACCACAATCCCTGCTCGAAAAAAGGTCACGGTCTAGTGGAGGAAACAACATGCAAACAGCAACGTACAAACAAGTTGTAGACAGTATAGATTGAAAATTAACAACAAAGGGAAGGCACAAGGATTGAGGGGGATCAGGAAAGGTTTCTTGTAAAAGGTGGAGTTTTATGACAAATGTGGGAGAAGATGTGGGAAAACTGGGACACTAATGCATTGTTGGTGGAGTTGTGTACTGATCCAATCATTCCGGAGAGCAATTTGGAACTATACCCTTTGACCCAGCAATACCACTGCTAGGTCTGTATCCCAAAGAGATCACAAAACAGGGAAAAGGACCCACATGTTCAAAGATATTTATAGCATTTCTTTCTGTGGTGTCAAAGAATTCGAAATTGAAGGGATGCCCATCAGTTGGGGAATGGCTGAACAAGTTGTGGGATATGAATGTAATGGAATACTATTTCGCTGTAAGAAATAAAGGCAAATTTCAGAAAAGAAAAAAAAAACCTGTAAAGACTTACATGAACTGATACAAAGTGAAGTGAGCAGAACCAGGAGAATATTGTACACAGTAACAACAAATAACATTGTATGATGATCGACTATGATTGACTTGGCTCTTCTCAGAAATGCAATGATCCAAGACAATTCCAAGACTCAAGATGGAAAATGCTATCCACATCTAGAGAAAAAAAAACAATAGAGTGTGAATGCAGATTGAAGCATACTATTATCACTTTGGTTTTTTTAATGTTTTTTTCCCCTTTTGTTCTATTTCTTCTTTCACAATATGACTAATGTGGAAATATGTTTTACATGATTGCACATGTATAATCTATATCAGATTGCTTGCCATCTTGGGGCGGAGGGAGAGGAGGGGGGGAGGAAATTTGGAACTCAAAATCTTGTAAAAATGAAAGTTGAAAATTGTCTTTATATGTAATAGAAAAAAAAATAAAATACTTTTAAACATTTTAAAAGGTGGAGTTTTAGCTGGGAATTGAAGGAAGCCAGAGAAGCCAAGAGTTGGAGGTGGGGACAGGAAGCATTCCAGGTCTGGGGAGGGGCAGCCAGAGAAAATACCTGGAGGCAGGAGAGTTTTCTGCTAGGTGAACAGGAGGTCAATGTCTCTGGATTGAAGAATATCATGGGGCAGCAAGTGGTAAAAAGATTGGAAAGGTAGAAAGGACAAGGACAGAAAGGCTTTAAAAAGCCAAACGGAATTTTACATTTGCTCCTGGAGGTAATAGGAAGTCACAAGAATATATAGGGAGGGGGTGAGATGGCTAAACCTGAACTTTAGGGAGATCACTGACAGCTGTGTGAAGGAGAGATTGGGGGGAGACCCAGCTGAGAGGCAGACCCCAACCCCAGCAGCTATTGAAATAATCCAGTTATGAAGTGATTAGATCCTGTACCAGATTGTAGCAGTTTCAGAGGAGAGAAGGGGACAGATTCAAGAGATACCATAAAGGTGAAATTGACAGGCCTTGGCCAGATTGGAGATGGGGGGTGGACCGATAAGCACTAAGGGCTGGAGCATGACCTTGGGGGGCAAGCCCGGAAGATCGGGAGGATGCTGCTGTTCTCGGCAGTAATAGGGACCTCAGGAGGCGGGGAGGGTTTGGCGCAAAGACGATGAGCTCGGTTTGGGATGTTGGGTTGAAGGTGCCTCCCTGCTATTCATTTCTAGATGGCCAATGGTCAGTTGAAGACTCAGGACTGGAAGTGAGGAGAAAGGTTAGGGGTGGCTAAGTAGACTGGCAATCCTCAGCATAGGGCTGGTAACTGAATCTCAGAAATGATGAGCTCCCCAGACAGACATGCAGACAGACAGACAGATAGCAGGTAGTGTAAAACCTTGCAGCGAGAGGCACGTGGCCTTTGGACACCTCTTTGCACTGAGCAAGAATGGGCAGGAGGGTGCACGCAGTCCCCCAGCCCTGTAACTCCTACCCAGTTTGAGAGGAAAAGGGCCGGGGCCCAAGGCACACAGGCCAAACAAACAAAACAAAAAGGCAGAGCTAGTCTCCAGCTGGGGCCTCTGCTTTCTGGCCTTGGGTTCGAGTCTCAGATTCTTTGCCCTCTCACGTTTCCCTTCTCCAATCTGGGCCTCAGTTTCCCCATAGGTAAAGTGAGGGGAGAGGGTAGGTGGTGAGCTTTCCTTCAGCCTCCCAGCGGCTCAGGCCTAGCCCATGCCCTGCTCTGGTCTGCCCGGGTGGGCGGACCTCGGCTGGGGGAGGGAGGAGGGACGGAGGCGGGCTGGGCGGAGGCGGAGGCGGAGCTCCAGGGAGGTGCTGCTCGTGAGCAGCCAGAGCAGCCGCAGCTGCGGGCGGGCAGGCTTGGGGAGAGGCGGGCGGCGGCGGCGGCGGCGGCGGCGGCGGCGGTGGCGGTGGCGGTGGCGTCTCGGACTCCGGCTCCCGGTGAGTGCGCGCGGCTGCGGCTCGGAGCTCGGGGCTCGGGGCTGGGGTTGGGGGCTCAGCGCGCAGCGTCGTCCGCAGGGGGTCCAGGCTCCCAGGGCTCCAACCTTCTCTTGCTCTGGCCGGGGCGCTGGACGAACTTGACCCTCTCCCTCCCTCCGTCTCTGCCCCTTGCCCATGCCCGCCCGGGAGGCCCTCAGTCCCCGTGCCCTGCCCTGCCCAGGGCTGGGCAGCTGCCTCCAGTCCCCTCCCCGTACCCCTACTTCCTCTCGTGCTCCCGAAGATGTCCCATCCCCCTCTAGAAAGAGAGCAGAGGCCCCCAGCCCCAAGGTGAGCAGCTCCTCCTCCTTCTGCAGAGCATCTCTGGATCCTCAGCCTGGCCACAAATGGGTGGTGGGTCCCAGCGCGCCACACCCGCCCCCATACACACACACCTGTCCTCTCCCTCTCCAGCCACCTGCCCACTCCTGGCCTCCCCTGCTCGGGTAGATCAGACCCCCGCCCCTCCGCCCTTTGCTTGTTATCCTAGGATCTTGAGATCAGAGGATTTGGATCTGAAAGCGAGCTTAGAGATCCCTTGGTTCCAAGCCTCTCCCTCATTTTGACAGAAGAGGAATCCGAGGCGCGGCCCCTGTAGCCACAGCTCAAGGCCCTTCGCAGCCTCCGAAGTGCCCAGAGCTTCATGAAAGAGATGCCCCAGGCCGACTGGGCTGGGGCCCCTTGACTCATGTAGGGCTGGGGGATGCCGCCGGTTTCGGGGAGGGCTGCCGGTGTCTTTCTTTGTATCCCCAGCCCTCAGCCTCGAGCCCGGGGCGGCCTCGGTGGGAGCGAATCTAGTGCTTGTTCGTTGATTCATTAGAATAGAAACTGAACCGGGCGGGAGTCAGGACACCTGGCTTCTGGTCCTGACTATTAGCTGTCTTTGATCGAGTCGCTCTTTCTGGGTGTCAGTTTCCCCGTATGTAAAATGAAAGGGTTGGGCTGAATGGTCCCTCCGAGTGCTGCCATTCTAAGATGTGTGTGTTGCCGGGGGGGGGGGGGGGTTATCCTTCCCCGTGTCCTCTTAGGACGGGACTGTCACTGGCCCTCTGGACTCTCTCAGGGGGTCCGGGGCTGGCTTTAATATCCCTGCTTTTAGGGATCTGGGCCAGTGACATGTGCAGTCCCCCTCCCCCTTTAGTCCATTTCACCCTCTCTCATTTCCCTTCCGGAAACTTTCTATGCTTTATTTACAGTTCCCCTTTCTGGCATCAGCCGAGTGTGGGACTCTTTCCCCAAAGTGCTGGGAGGGATCCCAGAGCAGGCTCGGGGCCCTCTAGGGCAGGACCTGGTCCTTTCGTGGTGGACCACGCCCCCACCCCGGCCTTTGGGATCCATGGGCTTTGAGCCCTCTGATCCCCTCTGTGGCTGGCAGGTTTTGTCATTGGGGAGGGCAGCCGCCAGCCGGGGCTGTTTTCCCGCATGTTTCTCAGTGCCTGGTGTTGCTATAGCGACCACTTTGCTCGCTCAGCTCTCCTGACTCTTCCGGGAGCCCGTTTTTTATTGGTCTGTTGTCCTGTCCTTTATGGCTCTAATTTCTCCTTTCTGCCTCCCTGGGAGATAAACAGTCACAGACAGGGTACTGGGCTGGGCTGGGCTGAGCAGAAGGATGAGGACGCAAGGCTAGCCAGCAGGCTGAGAGCTTAGCACGTCTGCCAGGGGCAGCCTGGCAGGATGGGCATCTGGGATCCTCCTCTGCCTCTCTCAGATGCCCCCGGTTTGGGGACGATGGGTAGGTAGGCTGGTGGCTGAGCCCAGAGGAGGGGGCAGCAGTTCCCCTAGTCCTAGGCCTGGGGTGGAAGGGGGCAGGACTTGCCCACTGGCCACACCCCAAACCCATGGGTCCTGTGAGTTTCTCAGCCAGGGTTTCCCAAACAGAGCCCCTCTCAGAGCTGGCAGTTACAAGAATGTGACAGCTGACAGTAAAAAGGGCTGGGACTTGTGCAATCCTGTGAGCCCTGGACACCACCAAGCAGCCAGCCGGTCAGTGGTCAAGAGTGAGAGAGAGGGAGAGCTGCCTGTGACTTCCTGTTTGTGCTGCTCACTAGTAGTTTGCTGGAACATGCCCTTCAGGGAGTCCATGCAACCGGATGCTTCAGGGAAGATGTGGACAGGACCCCAGTCTATCCAGGGACAGCAGAGAGGTTCAGAGGGAGTCAGCACTTTCATTGTGCTCTCCACAATGGACAGTGCCGCCTCACCTAAAAGAAAAGAAAACCAAACAAAAACAAGAAAAAACAAGCCAGAATTGATGAGTGCCATCTACGTTCTAGAAGAGAAAACAGCAAAGAAATTACTTTATCAAGGATCGCAGCCAGTGGGGATCACCAGGTTGTTGCAGCATGTTTTGGGTGGTGACATCTTCAGTCTGGGAGACTCCCAATGAGGAACACAAATCAGTCAGAAGCTCTTCTGTGTCTTAGCTTTGGAAGCTCTCCTGGGTGTCGAGTGTAAAGGGTTCCCCAGCTAGACTGTGTCTGCAATAGGGTTGGGCGCTGGGCTGTGCCAAAGCCCAAGGTCCTCTCCTTCCCCACTCCTCATCGCCTCTGCTCACAGTGCTAGCTTACTAGATGTTCTGGGCTGTGAAGTTCACAATGTGCTCTGTAGTGAGTGACCAGCATGCGAGACTTGGGGGCAGGGTGACATGGGTTCAAATTCCCCCTCAGACACGAGGAGCTCATTGACCAGAACCAAAAAGGAGTCATTCATTATTCCAAGTTAAATCATTTATCCTCATCAGTTTTCTCATGATAAGAGTTCTTTCTTCATGGGGATGGCATGAGGCTTAAATACAATGAGGTCTTCAAAGAGCTTTGCAAAGTATGGGGTTGTGCGTTGTTTTTATTATTACTTAGAGGAGCCATATTTGATCTCATTTGAGCCCCACCACCTCTCAGTAGTAAAACACTTCTTATTTCTGGCGGTTGTGCTGGTGACAGTGTGTGTCTCTTCCCTTAGCCCCCAGCTGAAGCATGGTGGCTGGAATCCAGAGAAGGTGGCATGCTTTCTTGGCTGCAATGACCCCAGGCCCATGGCAGTCTACAGGTCTTCCTCACCTGGGACTTGCCCACTGGACATGCTCCCGGTCTCTTGGTTCTGATGGCAACTTCACAGCCACCAGCCACCTCCTGCACTCTCTGCCAGACTTCCAAGGTCCATCTTTGCTTCATCCCCATAAGGCCCAGGGAAGAAAGGATGGAGCTCTAACATAGCTTCCTACCACCACCTGATGTAGGGAGAACCAGCCTGCTGAGTTCTGGAGAGTGGCTGGGACTTTCCCAAAGGTACCTTCTAGGTCCAGAAAGTCTGGTCTTATGAGGATGCTTCCATCTGCTCTTTAAGGAGGGGTCCCAGTGACTCTCTACCTGAGCTATGCTGCCTGGCCTCAGGACCCTTCATAACCACAGCAGCAGGCCCTCCGGGCTAATTCTGGCCCAATGGATCATTGGATAGCCATGTGAAGGAGCTCTCTGCTCTTTGCTCTGGGGCGGGGAGGGGGGGGACTGCATATGCTCATGGTTATATGATTGCATGGTAGACGGTCTGTGGTGTCTCCCAGTGGTCTGGAACTGGGCCAACGCTGGATTTGTCTCTGAGCAAGAGGGGGAGGAGCTGGGCAAGCATGCTGCCATGGGAGAGCTGCTTTCTAGGAAGTCCTATCAGACCCTAGGCCCACTGCCTGTGGAGGAGGGGCAGGCGACCTCACCTGGGTCCTGTTACATTGAGCAGTGGGTGTTCCTTTTCCATAAAGGAAAGTACCGCATTATATCTAGAGAGGAAAGGGATCTTAGAGGCCAACCTCTAAGACTAGGAAACTGGGGCACAGAGAGGTTTAAGATCTGCCCAGAGCCACACAGCTAGTAAGTATCTGAGGCAGGATTTCTGATTCTACGGCCAATGCCTTTGCCACTGTTCCTTGCTCTGGTCCAACCCATTGCTGGGCTGGCCACTGGTAAACTTTTAAGCTGCAGCAGACCAGGAAAACCATGTCCTAAAGTACAGATGGGCTGTGATCCTGTGAGGAGCGGGAGGAGCCATTCTAGCAAAAATCACAGAATCTGGAAATAATGAAAGGAACACAAAAGTGCTAGCGTCCCAGACTGAAGGACCTCAAATGATTCTTATGGAGAATATGGAGAGGTGAGGGCTGGCTGAGATCAAAGACCAGTACCTAATGATGCAGGACAGCTCTAATGCAGGTCTCCAGTGGAGTGCCTCAGGGATCTGTGCATGCCTCTAGGTAGCTTAATTTTTATCAGTGCCATGTGTATCCAATTTGCAGATGGCACAAGCCTGGGAGGGATGGCTAGCCCACTAGTTGACAGGCTTGAATATCGGCTGAAATGGAATAAGATGAAATTCAACAGGTATAAACAAGGTCTTATACTGGGCTACAAAAAATCCAAGTCCATTAGCACAAGATGGAGAAGACACAGTAAGACAGCAGTCTGTCTGAGAAAGAGCAGATGGTTTCAGTGGGCTCTGAGCTCAAAAAAGAATATGACCTTTGAGGTGGGAAACAAAAAAAGCCAATACATTCTAGGGCTGTGACCTCAAGAGCTAGAACATTGTGGGGAATTGAATTGGATGAAATGTAGTAAGGCTATGTTTTTAAAGCCTTACCCCTGGGTTCAAGAAACTGGCAAGACATGGGAGGACACCTGTGGTTAGACAGCTTTGTATGAAAAAGAGCTGGGGGTTTTAGTGGACCACAAACTCAGTGGGAGTCAGCAGTCTGATGTGAGTCAGGAAATCTAAGTGGATCTTGTGCTCCCAGGAAGGGGGAGGTGAGAGTCCCACTGGACTCACTCAGTCCTGGATGCCAGAGTCTGGGAAGGACATTGATGAGCTGGGAGCTGCCGAGGGGCCCTCCAGGAGGGGGAAGGGTCTGGAGTCCACGTCCTGCAGGGATGCTTGCTGCTTTGCCCAGAGGCAGCCAACATGTTGTCCTTCCTCCTCACCCC